CTGTGTGGGCGACGCCATTACGTTCGAGGGGGTGCGAGCCACAGGGTTGTAGTTAAATGAAATGTCCTCGTCGATAACGACAACAGAATCACTAGCGGTAGCCATATAGTGACGGGCAGTTCCAAATTCTCAACAGTTCAGTGCGAGCCTAAAGCCTACCTTGACAGAAAAGATAGCGGAGCGGTCCGGGAAGTTGAAGGTAGATGCACATGGGCCAGAGGGGAGGGGCGAGTACCGCCGGGCGGCGAACGCAGCGATCCACCGGTTGTTGACGAATAAAGTCCGGTGGTTAGGGACGGCGAAGAGTCCGAACACCGCTGCCACCAGTGTAACGATCCAATCCCAGGGTTTATGGAATGAGCAGAAGAGACGAGTGGAGTACTGTGGATCTGTATGTATTCTTCAGAACATGTGGGTAACTCTAACTCAACTGGATATAACTGGTTCCTAGTGGACTTGCCTACTCGCCACCGGGGGTGGCAGGTTATACCATTCCCATAGGGGGGACTCTATGGTTCAGCATATTAGATCCTTACATAAAGGCGATGCGATGCATATGTTACAATATAACGTTACACATTGACATATACAATGCTAAGAACACAAATGTCCGCAAGATAACAGTGCAGCATGTGGGGAATTATCAACAGAGGCGGGGGGGGGGTGATAAATATAACCATGTTAACCATGGAGATAAAAGACACTTTATAATACAATCACGTAATACTCCGATCGACCCAGACCCGAATTACGCATGCTGGCCTTCTGACAAGCTGATTTCATGCTCCAGCCTTAATTCTCAGCTGCATGCAACTGCAACTGCCTTCAGAGACCGTTCAACCTTTCTACATCACTTAAGTTAATGCAGTTTTTCAAAGCCATCGTGTGTATTGTTATGTGTATTGTCATGTGTATTGTCATGTGTATTGTCACGGTATTAATGTTTTTCAAAGGCATCATGTGTATTGTTAAAATGTGTCTCTTATTGTAAATATCAATTCAGCTTATGGCTGCTAAGTACTGACCTAACATCGAATGCTTTTTCACGCACTCAAACTCAAGGCGTTCTCAGGTCGGAGACCGAAATTTCTATTGCTTCTAAAGCTTTATGTTCTTGTGTATGTAGCTGTTGCGTTACCGCTTGGCAAAGGTCGTATATTCATGGCCACCGCTACCAAGTGACCCTCTTTTCAGCACCATCATTATTATTGGCAAAATTCTCATTTTTGACAAAACGACAAACAACTTTATAGAACTATACTTTGCATGCAAATACCAGCTGTACGCATTGACTATGTTTATTATTTAAATTATTAACAATTTTAATTAGCAAAGCCAGTGGCAACACGGCGTACTTGCATAATAAGATCAGCAAATATTCCGTTCGAAGTTAGGGCACATCCGAAGTAAGGGCATCCCTCATTACTTTTAAAATATATACTAGTAATTCATTCATTCATTTTAATGGTGCTGTAACAAATATGGCCTAGGGATTAACTACTAGTACCATTGTCTAGCTATAGAGTGCTTCCAATGCATGTTATTATCATATCACATCGATAATGGCTTGAGACTTGAAGAATGACTTAGGAACATTTCTTCCTTCATTGGGCATCGAGAAGGTCAGCAATTTTGGACGGAATAAAATCCACAAAGTACATCACTGAAATAACCTGTTTTGGTATTCTACTGCCCGTTTCATTCAAACAAAGGTGTAGACTGATTGATTGAAATCGTGATCGTCTTCCAAGTAGAGATGGTTTCATGTGGCCTGTTGCCAGATAGTCCATGTTAGGGGATTAGCAATTACACGCTGGCATGGCTGCCATGCCATCACTTTTGTTGTTGAATATTCCAAGTTGTGACAGATGCTGAATTCTCTTTTAAATTGCCTTTCTCTAGGAATGTATGATCAGCACAAGTTCAAGTAATGTTATCACTCCATACTTGGTTTTCAAAATAAATCTTCAAATTCTGAAATGACCATTTTATGCTTTTGGATTACAGGGCTATATGCATAATGTCTCATCCCTGATACTAGTGATAGACATGAATTTTTTCCTGTTGCTCTTAAATGTGGCTCTGTATCAGCAAGGACATTATACATCTGTGTATAATGTCCTTGGTATCAGAATGTCACAGTATCAAGCATACACCCATCTTTGACAATACATCCATCCATCTTATCAGAGCTATTAGGTATTCATCTGAAGAGTCTACTCACCCCACAGTGTGTTCCTGTAGCTGACTCAAAGTGTAACCACAGTGCTAAGAATACAGCAGACAGAAAACTGCCCAGAGGTAGCAAAGCTGTGATCACATGCCAAAATCTAAAATCCACTCTCAGCAACACTGAATCCAGTCGCAAGCTCTCCATGGCTGAAAAATGAATGAGCCTGGGTTTCATGCATTCATATGCAAAGGAGCCACCAGGATGTCTCTTGCAAGCATATCCTGTGCCAGATTTTTGTTTATATAACAGAAATGCTGGTTACACATGTTTAATATGATCAATAAACATTATTTGCTATGATCACTAAACATTATTTGAAGATGTTTCGTAATATTTCATAATGTAAAAACATTTGAAAAGACCAACAACATAGAAAATGAAAACATTTATCGAAATATTTATGTCATCACACAGTGGTGGGAAGAGTGCTGTATAATTTGTTTTCGTATGTAATAACAGAAATGTTATTTAGTTACACTTGTCCATAGATTTTCTTTTTATAGTATTTCATATCATAAGTGACAGTGAGGAAAGGTGTAATATCAGACACAAGTATTGACATTTCTGGCCACGTGCCAGAAATATTGACTCGCCCAAAAATCAAGTGATATTACATGTACAGGAATCAATATAACATCAATTCTAATTCAATTACACAAAACTACATCTCCCAGATCTATAGTTACAGAGGGTACCGTATGACATGGTGTAGCCGTGTTAAACACAAAGAAGAGCTAGGACATTGAAGAGAATATTTCATAGGAATTTTTAATCTTAGGAATTAAATATATAAAAACATATATGGAATAAATAAGAAAATTATGTAAAATCAAGATACAGTGTTTGATATCTTTCTCCACATATTTTGTTTCCCAACTATTCTAGTCAGTTTTTAGATGTATCAATAAGGTTGCCCATTTCTAATTCAGTTGTGAAATTCAATATTTGTTTGTTTGCTTTATTCAGATATTAAAATTAATTCTAAATCATTAGAATATGTACTTACATGTACTTACCTGTGTGTTATTTTATTTCAAACTCAAAGGTATTTGGTGCCTGAATACCACAGTCATGACTCAGAATCGCACACGAGCATTTTTAAGGCCAGAAGGTAAAGAAACCATTGGACTGTAACATCCAGTGACTGGCAAAAAGCACTTGAAAGACTCTTTCAATGTTTGCTATTTGTACAGTACACTGGGTGGGGAAAGAACTCAGCCAACAAATTCTCAAATAGGGTACTCTTTGGGCATAATTAAACTAGATTTGTTGTGGTGATCTTGTATTTTTTTAAACCTTTGTTTATAGAGATAATAGCTGACAGCTTTTGTGACAGCTGGAACAGATTAGAGCACTAATACCAGAATAGTGGGAGGCTTCCTTGGCATGTGCAGCTTATTAGCATGAATTGCATGTTTTTGAAGCAACTCATTGGTGGGTAATTGCCACATAAGTTACATGTAGCAACAAATTGCCACATGTATCAAGCAAGACTATAACATTATTAGGCAAGGACCTTCAACGTCCTTGGTGTAGGTGATCAAATTACCACCCCAAAGATGAAGATGGTTCCATGTACTGTACAAAGTAAATCTCCTTGGTATGACCTTCAAGTTCAAGTTTCCTTGATCAAAACAGAATGAACATTGAACACAGTAAAATTGATAATCACTGCCAGTTATCCCAGTTAAAAGTAGGTGTTACAGCAGTACTTACCTGCTCTTGTTGAATGGCATGTGTTCCTAGTGTTACATGTGACCTGCTTCCTGCAAACAGGATCAACTGCTATGGGTTAGGTCCTTCCTGTGACCTCTGACCTATTGCATCTGTAAGAGCCACATGTGGGATGTTCTGTTGTGGGCACACATGATCAGTGCCTCACAATTTGTTGTCAAAAGAGACCACTTTTACTAGTTTTAGAGTTTGTAGTAGATTCTATGTGTTGTCTTGATTATGTCTGAAGGCAAGGTAAGTGTCTGATTTAGCTTTAAGATTTTTTATGTAGCATGGGTATACATTAATATCATCAACTGATCAAGACATGATCTCTATCATGCCCAAATCCTACCACAATTCAGGTTTGCAGTGACTCAAAACAGTCAAAATGTTTGACAGAGATGACCTAGATATGAAATCCTACATGAACATCAAGAAAGAAGTGGCAGAGGTTCCAAGGGTGCATTTTAAAAATGATTTTGATTGAACCATTAGCTAATGATTAGGTAAGCGTTACATAGAGTATTGCAATGCACATGTAGACATTGGGCAATTGCAAGTGGCCCATGCTCCAGGTGCACTAACTCAAACCACATTCTTTGCATTTTGTCAACTGCATAATGCATACCATAGCCTATAAATGTTAGCACACATATTACAATGAACATACACTTTATTTATTAATATTCGAAGGTCTGTCAGATTTTTTGTATCCATTTTTGCTGGAAAAGAAAGCAAAGTATCTTGTTTTTTTTTTGTTAGGAGGAGAGTGGAGATGACAGGGTGCGGATCCCTGCTGACATCACGTTTGATGACCTGGTGGTGGACATCAACTTCCACCCCAGTAAACCTCTCATCGCAGCCGGGCTCATCACGGGGGAAGTCACTTTGTAAGTATTTCATTTACACGTTCATTTATCATTTAAAAACTCTGTGCACCTGTTTTAAGAAGAGGGAAGAGACTGTAATTTATAATTTTAAACGACAAAACAGCTGGTGTGTTAAACCAAAGGGTGCTTATACCGGCTAGATAGCCGGCTATACAGATACAGATAGACCTGATAATAGCATAGCCTTATATGTTTGACTGTCTGTAAACAATAGATACAGTGAAGCATGTGCAGAGCTTAAGTTGTTTTGTTTTTCTGACTTCTACCAGATACTGTATTGATTCTTTATCTCACATGAAACCTTTTGTACATTTGCTTTCACGTCAGACACTCCTACGCATCCTCTGCCAACACCTTAGTGAGGACCTTCAAGCATCACAAGAAGGCAACCAGAGCAGTGGCTTTTTCCAAGGATGGGAACAGTCAGTATTACAGCATATCAACAAGTTATATCTTATATTTCATTAAGTTCCCAAGTTACAGCATGCATGCAGCATGCATGTTGTAGCTTCATGTTAAAATTCCCCAGCCATTAAATTTGGAATCTTTTACCTAAGCTTTAACCAAATACCGGTTCAGACTATGGCACTTTGAAATCAGCATTTTCGGAGTAGACATTTCTAAAAAAGATACATTGTACATGGTATATGGTAGGAGGTCTGAGGTCTTCCTTATAAAGGATGTATCATTCTGTTGCAGGTCTGCTGACCTGTTCTAAGGACAGGTCCCTGCAGGTAGTGGATGTAGAGACAGGGAAGGTTTCCCAGAGTTTCCCCCAGGCCCACCCCAGCCCTGTGTACTGTCAGCTGGTCATCAGTGACAGGCTCATGGCTACAGGGGACGACGATGGAAATGTGAAGGTATGTAATGTTGCATGTTTATCAAATCATCTTTGTACTGATCTACTGTGGTGGAGATAGATAAATTATAAGTTTTAGTCGTTTGGATAAAAAACTGAACAAACTCCTACAGTACATTGGCCACCTGTTAAATAATTTTTTTGCATGCACACAAGTAAAATAATTATGCATATGCATGTTAGGTGTTCTGTTGATGACAATGATTTAAGGCTGAAAATGTTTTTTAACATGCATACATGTACATACATATGCGTGTTAGGTGTTGTGTTGATGACAAAGGTTTAAGGTTGAAAAATGGTCTCTAGGACAGCTAGGATTTGTTGACGGAGGATAGAATGATTCTGTCACCTGCTACCCTGCTTTCTACTACAAGTGTATATATTTAGTCTCACATAAAGAATGTCTATAGGACACTTACCCTCCTACTACAATGTATTAATTTTGAGGCTGAACTTAACCTGTTTCCCCAGCTGTGGGACCTGAGGAAGGGACATCCCATCATGGAGCTGCAGGAGAACCAGGACTTCATCAGTGACATGGCAGTGGACGAGGAGAAACGCTTTCTCCTGGCTACAAGGTCTGCTTTTGTGGGTCTATTAAGGTTGTCTATAGCTACAGAGGTTTGATGTTTTCTTGGAAATACCCTGGATTTTATACTTGTATCCAGTAACCACATGAAAATTTTCAAGCAATGGGAAACCATTCAAAAAACTGTTGCGAAAAGAGATTTGTAAGACTGCCAGAGATCTGAGATAAAAATTTGGAGAACAATGCTTAATCGGAAGAGAAGTTGATTTCTCAAAAGATCTCGGAGATTTATCCCTCTACGAGTGATAATGTAGGTCTGTCCAAGTTTTTCTTTCCTGTTGACATGCAAAAGTTGATTATGATATCTTATGATTGATTCTTTATCTGCATGTTCCGTCTTCTTGAGTACAGTGGAGATGGCACCATGACAACCTTCAACATCAGACGTCGGAAAAAGGTGATGCAGTCAGAAAACATGGAGGATGAGATGTTGTCTGTTGCTATCGTGAAGGTATGTGGGGATGTTGGATACCAAGTCTGGAGTATAAACCTAAAAGTAGCATGTTTTTCAAATGTGACCTTATCCTAGGAGCTAGAGTTGTTATGGGTTAGTAATAATTATATCTTAGTAAGCTTTTTGTACCTAATGACTTTCAGACCAAGCACAATACCAGCCTTTACTTTTAGAAAGTATTCTTTATGGTTCGTCTTATGAAGGATTCTTCTCATTCCACAAATGGTTTACTTGAATACTAGGATGGCAGCAAAGTCATCTGTGGCACTGGGGAGGGAGCGCTGAACTTCTTCAACTGGGAGGAATTTGGGAACATCAGTGACAGGTTCCCTGGTCATCCCATGTCTGTGGACTGTATCGTACCTGTCACAGAAAACATAGTCTGCACAGGGTCTATGGACGGTGTCATCAGGTATCTTCATTCTGTATATTTGGGCCCAGAATTTACTTGCCTTCAGTCTTAGCTTTTCCTGTTACAGTAGTAAACATGACAATGACTTAAATTGTATAAAGTAAAACATCTGATACTTCTGAATGATGGTGCCAAATGATTTTTCAACTTTTAAAGTGTGACACTGATGTCATCTTCATTCCTTTTAAGATTTTCTTCATTAACAGTCTTCATGCTAATGTTTCTTGTGAGCAATACGATGTTGTTCAATAGACATGTAGATGAGCCAGTATCAGCTTACACTTGTATATCTCTATTTTCCTTCTATCTTTCCACTTCAACTACAGCCAAACTGTTATTTTTATCATTCCCAGGGCCGTGAACATCCTTCCCAACAGATTCATGGGTGTTGTTGGAGAACATGAAGAGTTTCCCATAGAACAGATCAGGATCACTCCCAACAGTGAAATGATCGCTAGCTGTTCTCACGACCAGAAAATCAAGTTCTGGCACGTCGCACACTTAGAGAAGGAAACCATCGATGCCTCCAAGAAGGCGAAGAGGGACAACAAGCCAAAGAACTTGAAGAAAACAGCTGGACAGGAAGACTTCTTTGCTGACTTTGGGAAAGACTTGGAGGTGAAACCGGCAACTGAATCTGAAGAAGGTTCGTCTGAAGAAGAGGGGGACTCTGACTCTAATAATGAGGAAGAGTCAGGCAATGAGGAAGATGCAGACAATGGAAATGATTCAGACTCTGAGGAATCAGATGATTTCTTATCAGAGGAAGAAGATTCTGAGGATCTTGATGAGGATGATTTTGACTCAGCTGAAGACTCTGACTCAAATTCTGACTCAGAGTCAGAGGAGAGGACAGGTGATGATGATGATGAAAAAGAAGATGAGAATGAAAAAGACGTGGCAAATGACAAGCCAGATTCTGACAGCTCAGGAAAACAGTAATTCACTGTAGTGAAAATTTGATTTTCTAAATTTTTAGGCATAACCTCTTTTGATACTCTTCAGAAGACTTATGTTACAGCGAACATGTTTGGAACTATTCTAACCTAGCCTGAGTACTAGAACATTCCAGGTGACACATTAGCCAGAGCACCAGGTACCACATGCCTTTTCATTTCCAACTGCTGAATGGATTCCTGTGGGAATATTGTGATTTCTATGAAAATTTGGATCAAACATCAGTCACTGTGACAAAGTCTTACAAGGCATCTAGTCTTGGATATACAATGTACTAAAATACATAGATAAGTTACTAAATCATTTAAAAAGAAACACAGCAAGAGGCCGGTTGAATTACAAACTGTTATAATCAGCAATCTTCAAAACAATATATTCTATATGACTGAACTACACAGGATGCATCATTGCTGAAATATACTCTTGTTCATTCTGAGTCCAAGGACCAACAGTACTTTAAGTACTGCTCTACCATTAGAAGACTGGAAGACTTTCCCCCCATCCTAATGACACAGCTACATTCCCCTTTTCAACAACTGTCTCGTTACTGAATTTCCCCCATTCTCAACTTAATTCTTCAGCTATTTTAACCCCTGTACTACTAAAAGTTGTGTTGTATGTGTCCCACTTTACAAACCTGGAAAGAGGAAACTTTTACTTACATGCATATGCAACATGTACTTTGTATCCGTCCCAGGTTTACAAACTTTAAGTTTGGTTTTTCTTAAGACTTGATCTACATATACTTTACATGTATGTCTTTCTTCAGACACTGATTTTACAGACATGCTGGCCTTCCTTAAGACAGTAGCTTCATGTAGTGTTTACTTTAGCCTTTCTTCAAACCCCATGTATCAGGCACATCAGTCCTTCTTTCAACACTTTAACAACCTGTAAGAAATAATCAATCTGTTCCATACTTTAACCAGATGACAATTTAGCTC